AAAATTAAAAATAATTTTATATCATAATATAAATTATTTATTATAAAATTAAATATAACTTATATAGAAAAAAAATATTTATTTATCATATTTTTTGTTATAAAATAAATTTTATTTTATATATTGCATGAACTAAAATACTAAAAATTAAAATCATTTAATCTCAAAATTCCTAAAAATTAAATATATAAAAACACAAAATACCTTTGATTTGTGAAAGAATTATTGTTGTTGTTTAGAGATTTTTAAGGAAATATTATAGAATTGACAATTAATTTTTAAATTTCAAAAAGAAACAAAAAAAATTAAAACTAAAATCTGGTTTTGTTTCTTAAAAATTTTAAAACTTCAAAATAAAAACCACCCAGACCTTCAAAATTTTCTTACTATTACAAAAGGTTCAAATTTCTTGTTATCAAATAATATATTCTCATGATCACTTTTATTCTAAATAATAACAAACAGACAATTAATTAACAAACTGAAAGTTATCTTTATTGTTTTTATAGACTGGTATGAAGTTTTTCATTTTAATAAGTAATCTTCAAATTTTAAGTTCCTATTAACTTTTTAAAGATAGAACTTTGTCACTTAAAATTATCTTATATGACTCAAATATAAATGAGTGTTCTAGGGATAAAAAATATATCATTTTATACTCTTTTTTTTCTTAAAGATATTAATAAAAAGATTATCCAAATATTATATAAGTTAAAGTATTGGTTTAAAATAGTTGAAGGGATCCTAAAAATTTAAATCGTGTAATCAGTTCAAATTTATCATACTCTATCTATTTAAACGTGACTGGCGCCACTATAAAACCCTAATTTTACCATAAAAAAACCTAAAAAGGAAAGCCGCGACAGCGCGCACATGATTTCAATTATTATTGCTGGCTGTGGCACTCTTCTGTTTCTTCTCTCAGGTATTTAATGTTTGTTTGTAGTCATTAGATTTTGCATTATTAGCTAAATTTTTATACTTTTTATTAGTTCTTCACTATAATTAACTATATTCATTAGTGCATTAAAAGGGAAAAAGAAGAGAAAATTGTCAGCTGTTTACAGGTTCATGCTATGAAAGATGAATGTGTTTCTTAGACTAATTTGTGCTGAATCTTCTGTACAATTTAGCATTACTGAACATTATGTCACTTTTCACATTCTTCACTTTGTTAAGAATTAATCTACTTTAGCCATCAGTTAGTTGTATGAGAAAAAATTATTATGTCATAGTGTATAAGAAAGAGAGATGCAATGAATGTTAATTCTTCACTAATTGAAGTTTCACTGCTTTTGCAGTCAAAATCATGTGCTCATTATCACATGGGGAAAGTAGTGATCATGAACAAAATAAATATTTAAAGAAAGGGCCATGGACTTCGGAAGAAGATGCAATCTTAGCAGAATATGTGACAAAAAATGGAATAGGGAATTGGAATGTTGTGAGACAGCGTACTGGATTAGCTCGTTGTGGAAAAAGCTGTCGTTTAAGGTGGACAAACCATCTAAGACCAGATTTGAAGAAAGGTGTATTTAGTCCCGAAGAACAAAACAAAATCATTGAACTTCATGCTTTAATGGGAAATAAATGGGCCAAGATGGCACAAGAGGTTAGTCAATTTGAATTGTAAGTAATCTGCACTTTGATGAAGTTTTTGAATTTTTTTTTTCTGCCATGAATTTTCTTAACTTTAGGGTCAAGTGACTAATTACTTATTGTCACTGGTGAATTTTTTTTTTTTTTTTTTTTTACATATAATAAAGATTAAATTTTTACATAGATCATTCTCACAATGTGTATGATGCTATATTTGCTATTTGATGATAATTAAGTATATGATTAAATATGTTAGGTGGCACCATAAATCATATTACACATTTATAAAAAGTACTCCTTTCATCTTAGTATTGTTTTAGGTTATTTTATACTTCTTTTGATTTTTATTATGAGACAGTTTAGGAGAAATTCTTAATCCTTTGATAAGGCCTCTTATAATTTTTAAAAAGTATTAAATTGTTATTTTTTGTTTGCTCTTATTAAAAATTGTGAAGATGTATTCAATTGATATTTATCATTTTTATTGGTATTGATGTATAAGCTTGAGTAATATCTTTATTTATGAGAATTAATGATAAGTAAAAAAGATAAAATTAGTAAATCGTAATTTTTGTTTTATAAAATTCAATAAAATATTAATATGTACAATTCAATTAGAAATGCTTTATAATAAAGAAGGACCGGAAGGAGTGCAGATTAAAAAAAAGTTAATAGATAGATAAAATTAAATAATAATCTTACAAAATTAATTTTATAATTAATTTTCTTTAATAGAAAACACAATTACCAATTTTTAAATAATATTATCAAGGATATAAATAAAAAAGTATTTAATACTATATTAAAAAGTTAACATGACATTTATAATATTATTCCCTAATTAAAGTTAAAATTTTACTTAATTAAAGTTAAAATTTTACTTAATAATATGTATTTATATTTATTGCATACTTCAATAATATAGTGAGGTAAAACTCTAACTATATTTCAAAAGTATCAATATATTACCTATAGTATTATACTAAAGTTAAAATTTTATCCCAATAATATATATTTACATTTAATGTCGTATAATTCAATAAAGAATTAAGAAATGTTTTAGAGAAAATATAATGATGTAAAAATAGTTAAATTTGTTTATATTTAAAAATAAAATAAATATTTTTTATAATAAATAATAGAGAAAATATAAATTTACGTATATTAATGAGATGAAATTCCAATTCTATTGAAAAATAATACTAACTGCATTTATATATACTACTGTGTTTAAGTTTTGTTGTTGTTTATTTATTTATTTTGTTCATGCCTTGCACTCCACAAAGTCTTGATCAAGAGTGACATGCATGCATGAAATTTACTATTTACATTTGTGTTCATGACTTCATCTGGGTCAGTTGCCAGGTAGAACAGACAACGAAATAAAGAACTTCTGGAACACAAGACTAAAGAAAAGGAAACGAGCTGGCTTACCCCTCTACCCTGACGACATAAAGCCAGTGTTGAATAGTAACAACCCACAAAGCAGTGCTCTAAATGTTTCTATTCAGCGTGCTAATGATTCAGAAGCAGGCACATCATCAAGTGTACCAGAATTGGTGTTCAACAATTATAATCCCAACAGTGAAAACCATCCATTGTATGTGCAACCAGTTTCTGACATACCCCAAAACAGCACCTTTGAACAACAAGATTTGGACAACCAAGTCATGCCTCTCCCAGAGCAGCAGCATGACCCAGATAACCTTCACACTAGTTTGGAAAGTACTTGTGTAAATATTACTTTACCATCAACAATTGATTAGTAAGTCAACCATACTCATACTCATTTGTTTGAATACATATTAGAAGTATTTGTTATTTACTTGCATTTTTATTTTCAGTTTTCACTTTTTAATTAAAAAATTTGTTAAATAATTGTTATTTTAACCTCAACAATAGTGATCAGTTGCAGGGTGATTACAAATCTGGGGGCTTTGCATGTTCAAGTGGTCCTTCCTCAATATCAGAACTGCCTCCATTCCCACCATTTGATGATAATGATATTCTGAGACAGCATCCTCCAACTGAAACGCTACACTCTGAACCATTAGTTTCCAGATCTCCACGGAGCAATGGGTATTTGGAAGTCATACCAAAGATTTTGGAAAGATCAGATCATAGTTCCATGCAAGGGGAGTTAAATTCAGAAAACCAAGAAAACTTAGAGCAGGAAGATCTTGCAAATCAAGATGTTTTCTATGACTTTAGTTGGTTAGAGGATTATGACAAGGATGAATCTGCTATTAAGGATACTTTATACAGCATTGTCTACCCCTTTATCCCCTCGAATACTAATACTAATTGTTAATACGAGGATTGACACTTATAGATTTTCTTTTTCCATACGTAGAGGGGCAGTTTTATAGTTCAAATTATAGCTAGATAGGAAAATTGTTGGTATGAATTCTTCTTACCAAAACGACTATATGTGGTGTTTGGATGAATAACTTTATGGCGTGTTTGGCACACGAGATTTTAGAAATTCAAATAATTTGAAATTCTTAAAATTTAAATTATTTTGATTTTAATTTTTATTATTTTATATAAGTTAATTTAAATTTTTTAAAATTTTAAATTTTTTAGTTTGGATAAGATAATTTAATTTTTATCATGATAAAATTGAATGTGAATATATATATATATATATATATATATATATATATATATATATATGTATGTGTGTGTGTATATGAGAGAGAGAGAAGGAAACACAAAAGATAAGGAAAAGGATAAAAAGATATAAAAATGAGATATAAGAAAGAAAAAATATGAAAATTTTCAAATTCTTACTTTTTTTGAAAAATTTAAAATTTTACTATTTTGAGAAATTTCAAATTCTATGTAATTTTTTCATCAAAACAAAACATTTTTTTATCTTAAGGCATTTGAAATTTTTCAAAAAAAAAGATGAATTACGTTATTTAAATTTCTCATCCAAATACATTATTATATTATGTGTGAATGATAAATTTTAGTTTTAAAAGAAGTTTGAATTACTTTAATTTAATTTTTATCATTCTTTAAATGTTTTATTTGAATAATTTAATTCAAATTTATTAAGTTTTAAATTTTTAGTTTGCATGAGATAATTTGACTTTTATCATGATAAAATTGATTAAATAAGAAAATTTGAAATTCAACTATTTTAACATACTTCACAAATACTTAAATTTGAAAATTTTTGTAAATTTTTCATTTAAACAAAACATTTCATCTCAAAACATTTAAAACTCTTCAAAATAAAATTAATTTAAAATTGATATCCAAACATATTTTTAGTTTAAATTTTTATCATTTACTAAATGTATGCTTTGTTTGGATGTCCAGCACCCAACCATTTGTTTCAACCTTTCCCACTCTCTCAACGTCACCGTCTCAACTGTGGACTTCCTCTATCCTTCCACACCCTTGGTCCAACCCTCTTCAGATTTTGCTGAGTCTTGGTCATCCACAAATTACACACTCCACACTCGAACAAATGGAATTGAGGTTCTTCTAAAATGTTCTATGCCAGTTTGTTCCGTCCCGGAACTGATTTTAAGATCAAACATGTAATAATTAAATATACATGCATTCGATATAAAACTTTAATTTTAGAAGTAATTAAAATGAATAATATTGAGATAAAAATTATTCTACCTCCAGTAATATTTTTCAGAAAAAAAATCATAAAATTGCCTATTAACTAAATTTATAGTAAGATTTTAATAAATGTAAGTAGATAAATGTTACTAAAGAAGTAAAATGTAACATTGTTATCAGCCCTACCAGTATCACTGCTGTTATCCCTACCACCATAACTGATGATAATGGTGATAATAGAGACAATGCTAATAATGGTTATAATGATAATAACAATAGTGATGATACAGATAACACTAGAGGTGACAATAATAGTGGTGATGACGTTAATGATAGTAATAACAACAATGACAATGATAATGATATACAATACAACAACAATAGCGATGATAATCATGGTAGCGACAACAACGATTCTGGAGACGATGATGGTTGTAGTGACAATAAAAATTGTGATGACAATTATATAATGATGATAGTACATGATAATTTTGTTTATTACCTTTTAGTTTAAGCTGTCTATTTTAATTTAATGGTTATTATTAATAGTTCTCATTTCTAATACCTAGTGTCAATATATTCTTACTCTCTTTTTATATATATTGGATAATGTAACAATTTTCTTTTGATTTTTATTTTTATTAGACAATTTTACCCTTTCACACACTTTATAATTTTAATATCCGCCAATTTTCTGTAGTAAATAAAAAAAATCATTCATTCTCTTATTAAATTAAAATAATTTTTTGCCGTAATCATTTTCTCTCAAAATCCTTCAAAAGTAAACATAGAAAGACATGAAATGCCTCTTTTATTTACTAGTATATATAAATTGAAATGTTAATTATGTTAATATTAAATTTTACAAAAATTAATAAATATTAGTCTTTTTAAATATTTAATAATTTAAAATAATTTTTTTGTCAGACATTATTTTAAAATAATCAATTGTCAATTCTTATAGTATTAAAATAATATCTAGCTAACAAAAATTATTTTAAATAGAAAAACATATAAAAGTAGAGTTAACATAATTTGATAGAAAAACCTAAATGGATATAAATCAATCAATACAATGTTTTTTAAAATAAAAATATATTAAAAAAAAAACAGAAGAAGAAGAAGCATAAATGCATAATGTTTTATTCAATAAGTCGTCGAGGGAGTCTTCTCTCATGTTCTTCCCCTTCCTTGAATCGTCTTCACACCATCAAGTAAAAATATCCGTGCGTGCACCATAAATCTGGTTATGCTTCTATAATTTCCTAAAATGTAATCACAAGGGATTGTAAATAAAATGATAATAAGTTTACCTAGTCAACCAAAGTAGAACCTTTAACACTAGAGTTTGGAAATTGACCATTAACGATAGTACCTAGAGAGCATGGTGTGTCACACATTTAGCTTAGCACACTCGTAAATGAAAAAAAAAACACTAATAAGACATGGATTAAGAGTATACAATTCTTATAGAAAAAGATCACTTAGTGTGTTTTTAAACATACCTTGATTGGCTTAAATTTTTACATTTACGTATGTTATGACTTTTCTTCTTACAATATATATAGGTACAAGTAGAAGAACCTTTTTTGAACAATTTCAGATGTTCATTCTCAAGGTTCATAGACGCCCTTTAGTTGTCTCACGCAAAGAAATAGTTTTGTTTGAAACATTAGAGATAACTTTAGATGTTGAATCGCCAGATTCTTCTCTTGATTCTTTAAGTTCCATTAGATCAAATTCATTGCCTTTTGCAAAGCTTGAATTGCAACATCATAAAGTTTTCTTGACCGAAGCTCTTTAAGGTAGTTAAAGAAAATGAAACATAATACTATTAAACAATAGTTCAGGGTGAATATCTATTAGAGTAATTCAATTATAAATTGTGGCAGGCGTCTAAGTTTGTTACTTATTTTTATAAAAGTTAACAAATCCCTTGCATGATAGTTTGAGATTAAAACGACATGATAAAAGTAAAGCCAAGATTTTAAATCACAGTTGTTTAAAATTAGATGTAATGTGTAGAATTAGACTCAATTTTTAAAAATAAAGAGTTAGATTCAAATATTGTAAATAGAAAAAAATATAGTTAGAAGGGTGTTATAAACTTAGTCAACTTTTTTTTGGTGAAAATTAGTTATCAGTTATTAAATATTTCACAATAATAATATAATTATTAATAAAATAAAATAAAATCTGATGCGTCAATAATTTAAACTTTGAAGTTACATGTTTCTTAAATTTTAGGCGATGTTGAATCATTCATTAATTTTTCCTCCAATTTTGTATTCTACCTTTTGAAGAACACCTTGCACTCTAGAGAATATCGTGATCAAGAGTAACATACTAACATCATCTAATGTACCAGAAATGGCATTCTACAATTACAAACTCATCGGTGAAGAACACATCATTCAGTATATACCACCAATTTTTTTGCTCATGTAGATATTATTTTGTACATATTGAAGACAATTAATATCATTCCATAAATTCACACCCCTCATATTCCTAACACATTTAAAATCTGGACTACTACTGCTGATACAGTACTCAATCTTTCCTATCACAAATAAAATTGTCTCTATTTTGTCATTACACCTATCTTTGGAACTCGACAAACATGTTCATAGAGTGATTACTATAGCTTGCATGACTTCGCATTTCTTTCACAAAATATTTAAGCTTATATACTTAATTATCTTATCTCCTAGAAAAGTATCCGAGATTTGGTCCAAAGCAATCAGAAAAAACTCATCATGTTCCAATCTATATGCATCATATTCTATAATGGTAACAGGTTTTTAAAAATGGCACGTATATGTGGTCAAAATAAACTAGCACACTTTCACAAACCATATCTGCATAATTTTTCTCAATATTGCTAGAGGAAATAACATTGTAAATAACATGAGAGCAGAGTGCAATCAGAAAAAAGGAGAAATTACATAGCATCGAATCCAAACTTGGAGAAAATAACAGTGTAACCAAACAAATTCTGTAAAACACAACATGAATCAAAGGATTAAATAGACCACATGTGAATCTAAGGATTAAGATGAATGTTGCAGAATCATTACTATTTTAATACATTCTTTTATATATGTAGCTACTTTACATGTACAAAACCATGCAGCTTCTCATATTTGAATCTAATTAAATATATGGATTTTTCAATTTCACTATCAGCCTCCTCACTTTTGGCTGACTAACTTGAACTTTCACCCCACTAGTACTAGGAATATCTTCGACGACCACACTATTCGAAACTCCTTTCTCATTGTTCTTAATACGTGGGAATGGAACATCACATGGCCACGTGTCATGACTCATGGACACAAGTATTTGAGCAGCTATAATTTCCTCTTCACCATAAACTATCTCCTCATCTTTATCAGTGGTTCTATGCAATATTGGTTGCATTTTCAAACGTTTTGGTTTTGGCTCTTCATCTGGTGCAACACCAACATTGAGATGATCATAACTCTTGTTCTCTTCCATAGACGTAGAAGGGTGAATACCCTTCCGATTCGCAGCAGAATGAGATCTCATGTGTCCATATAAGGACTTTTTGGATGGAAAATCCTTCTTGCAAATGCAGCAAATGAATTTGTCACAAGTGGTGACAACACTAAGCATCAAATTATTAGCCCCTTTCTCTTTCCTTTGAGCCTGGAGATGAGATCTTTTGTGGCCACCTAATGCTTTTCCAGAACTAAACTTCTTGCCACAAATCTCACACTCGTGTGTTGGTGTGTTAATGTTCTCATGTCGCTCTTCATTGTTGTCATCCTTTGGTTTATCACCATCTTCACGTAACGGAGACAGTGACATCTTCTCTAACTTTTTCAATAACTTGTGGTCGTGGTATTGCTGAAATTTTTTTAGAGAAAGAGACAAAAAAATGAACTAGGGCTGAGTGCAGAAAAAGGAACAACATAAACAACATAAAAGAACATGTGTAGACTTATACCTGGTATATGATCTCACAAGTTGAACAAAACCTCTCTCAATGCTTCGAAAAGAAATAAGGTTTTGATGGATTTATCCACTATGCAAAAGAAGTCTAACCAGAGAGAAAGCGTAGCAAATATATGGAAAGTAAGAGATTGCAGGTTCAAGGGAAGGTAAATAAAGGAAACAAGCAAGATATTAGATATTAGAAGATCACAATGATAATTGATAATATTTTGAAAGTATTATCAACTTATCAGAATCAATTGATCTATTCAACAAGTTAGTTATTGTCTCAAGTTAGTTTACGGTTTATTTAATCATCTCGAATTATCTTCTTTAACAAATAAATATCTTATAACAACTTTGTTTCAAATTGTTTCGGTTTAATCGGTGATTTAAAATTCAAAATTTGAGTGTTTAATTTTGTTAAATATTTGAATAGAGAGATAATTTATTTATAATTTTTTTACTTTTATCTCACACTAGTAGATAAAGATAAAAATAGGTTAAACTTTAAATAAAAGATTTATGATTTGTCTTATTTAAAATTTGATATATTTAATATAAAAAATCAGATTTAATTTTTTTAAAAATTTATTTATACATCAATTTATTTATTTATATAATAGAATAGAAAATAATATATTATAAATAATATAGTTAAATAAATAAATTTATAAATATAAAATTAAATTATTAATATTTTTGACATTTTTATTAACTTGATTAAATGTTTGTTCATTCATAATCAAGAAATAGAAAATAAAAAATTTAGTAGGTCAAATTTTTGTCTACCTTTTTCCTTCACCTTTATAAGTGTTTATTTAGAATATTTCAAATAAGATATATGAATATTTATAATTTTTTTATATATAAATTTATCTTTCATTAGCATGTATGTGAATGTAAATGGGTGTGCATAATTTGTCCATATTATTCTTTTATTTTAAACTTTAAATTTTAATAATAATAAAGTAAACTATTTTATATCACAAAAATTAAAAAAAAAAAATTGTATGTGTATTTAAAAATAGGTTTATTAGCTTATTTAAAATTAAATTTACTGACCTATTTAACATTTTTAACGTAAAATAAACTTTTTAATAAGTTAGCATATCAAATCAGATTTTTAAAAATGTTAGGTTAGGTCTAGAAAAAAAAACTACATAATAGATGATAAATTATGTTAAAACTTTAATTTTTATAGAATCGACTTAATCTGTATATTTAAAGTCTCTAATCTATTCTTATTCCTATTAGTAGGTGGATACTTCTTTGTATTTGTTTAAAAATAATATAATTTGAAAAGATTAAAATAATCTCAAACAAAATTGAAAATCAAAAGTGATAACAAAATAACAGGATAGTTATTATTGATAAAATAGATAATTAATTTTTTATACATATTTTTTCCTTCTATTTTATCCTTAAGAGACATAATGGTAGAAAAAATAATATATAATAAAAGAAAATAAATATTTATTAAAAAAAATGTAAAATTTAAAGGAAATATCTCATTTATATCCATAATGTAGATGATAAGCGAATTATCTTTAT